TCAGACACCACCATGTAAGTCAATATAATAAGTAAGTCTCCATTTAATATATGTTCATTCGATAAGTTCTGTTTCTTCAGTGAACCCTGGCTAATACAAACACATAAGAAAACTATAGACCAGTGTGTGTCCCTTACAATTATGAAAATAAATGTAAAATTCCTTAGCAAAATACTATAAAACTACACTCAAAAGCAATTTAAAAGAACTAATTATTATGAAACACTGGGGCTTATTTCAGAAATATAAAGACAATTAAACATGAAAAGCAATCAATGCAATACTATCAATTCTATTAATAATCTTTAATCATTCTATTAATAGAATGAAGAAATCATCTAACATTTCAATAAAAACAGAAAAAAAAACATTTGACAAAACTAGGTCTCACTATATACCCCAAGCTGGCCTCCAACTGCCTTGGTCTCCTGAGTGATGGGAATATAGGTATGCATCATTATAACCATGCCACTTCAAAAATTGTACTCAACACTGTGTGATCTAGGTAGGGCAAACAAGCCAAAAATAAATAGACTGGAAGGAAAGAAGGAAGACTATTCACCAATAACAGGATATTAAATATGGAAAGCAGAGATGAAACCACACAGGAGGAAAAATACAAAGCACAAAATAAAAAAAAATACAAAATACAAACAAACAAGTTCCGCTGCAAGACACAAAATCAATATGAAAAAGACTGGATTGTATATTGCTTTATATACACAGCAGTGAGAAATCTGAAAATAAAATTAAGGAAAGGATGCCACTTCCAAACACAAAATAAGGAATTTTTAACAAATTTAACCAAAAAGTTTAAAATCTGAATACTGAAAACTGTAAAACATCATTGAAAGAATTAAATAAAAACAACCCCACCTTCATGAACTGTAATATTTAAATTATGGCAGTGACACTCCTCCCAGTGATCTATAGGCTCAATGCAATCTCTATTAAAATGTCGACTTCCCTACTTTGTAGAAACAGAAAAACTAATTCATAAGGAATTATAAGAAACTCCCAATATCCAAACAATCTTAATAAACAGCAACAACATTGGTTGGGCATGAAGGTGCAAGTCTTAAATCCCAGCACTTGGGAAGCAGAGTTAGGTGAATATAGTTTAAACCCAGCCTGATCAGTGAGTTCTTTTTTTTTTTTAAGATTTATTTATTATTTATACAACATTATGCCTGCACACCAGAACTCACTATAGATGGTTGTGAGCCACCATGTGGTTGCTGGGAATTGAACTCAGGACCTTTGGAAGAACAGCGAGTGTTCTTAACCTCTGAGCTACCTCTCCAGCCCCTGATCGGTGAGTTCTAGGCCAGCAAGGTAAACAGAGAGATCCTGTCTGAAAAATACAAAAACAAAATATAAAACAAAACTGTTGCGGGTTGATCTGGTGCTTTGTATTTCTGATACTAATTATTGACCCCCAAGATCTGGTTGCTGCCCAGGTTAGCAGACATTTACATACCTCAAAATGACATTTGTAACCTTGCGTAAGAAATTATTCCTGATTGGCTGATAAAAAGGCCTGTACCTAGAAAGGACAGAAAAAGTAGGCATGGCTAAGATTTGAGGGCTTTGGAAATGGAAGGCTCATGGGAGAGAGAGATAGGTACTGAAAGAGAAGGGAAACAGGAAGATGGGTTAGCTGGGAGAAGAGCACATGGCTGATTGGTGTGGATAGAGGAAAGCAGCCAGATGAGAGAATAAGTAAGTATTTATGGAATTATGGATGGAAGGTAGCCCAGATAGAAATTAGAACAACTGGCCTGGGATGTGGACTGGGAGGTAATGGTAGTTTAGAGGTTTAATATCTTTCTTGCCCCAGGTGAAATGAGGCTATTCTAAAATCTATCAGCTGTCTATGTCTATATTGATTGTGATAGCAGGTTAGATATACCACCATAATAATTGTAAGGTTAATAATAAACATTATTTAGCCATACTTTTAAATTAACCAAAACACTAAACAAACTAAAAAACAAACAAACAAACTAAAAACAAAGAACAACAACATGGAAGAACACACACTTCCCAATTTCAAAACAAGCTACACCACAATTAAAATAGTATTGTTCAAACACAAGAATACACAGACATTAAGGGACTAGAATTATGAGTCTAAAAAATAAACAGTAAATAAAACTTGGCAACAGTATGCTGAGACTATTCAATGAAAAATACAATAGATGTTTTAGCAAATGATGCTGGATTAAAAACCTGAAAATCAATATTCACAGGAATGAATTTGTATAAACTGAGAAGAGAAATTACTCTCTATCATCACACAGGGCATTTACTGAAAAACAGGACTAACATTACACTCAATGTAAAAGACTGAAAACTTTCCCCTCTGACCAGGAAAAAAGTTAGGCTTTCTCCAGTTTCATTTTTCTTTTGAGGCAGGGAGGACCATAAGCAAAAAAAAAAAAAAAAAAAAAAAAAAAAAAAAAAAAAAAAAAAAAAAATTAAAAAAAAAAAATAAAAAAAAAAAAAAAAAAAAAAAAAAAAAAAAAAAAAAAAAAAAAAAATCTATCAAAGACCTATTTAAGAACTAAATCTCTAAAACCCTAAGAAAGAATAGGTAAATAATTATCTTGATCTTGAGTAAAGCAATTTTTAAAAATACAACCCAGAGAGCTACAATAGCAAGTGTTCTGGCAAGATATGCCTATGGTACAGCAGTGGCATAAATGTTACGTGGGTCGCCAACTACTTTACGACTGGATTAAGGCCTTGTTAAAGTGAGTATTGGAAAAAAAAGGGAACTATCTGTAAAAAAATTACAACATTATAAACACAATAAAGAAAAAAAAAACATGAATAGGATCTTATCTAAATTAAAAATCATTTGCTGAGCAGGGTGTAGTAAGACATGGCTGTAATCCCAGTACTCCCGGAGGCAGAGGCAGGAGGATCTCTTTGAGTTTGAGGCCGTCTGCTCTACAAAGCAAGTCCAGGATAGTCAAGGGTACCCAGGGAAACAATGTCTAAACCCCAGCCCCAAGTAATAATTTGCTGCACATAGTAGAAAGACTACAACTGGATCAGGAGGGTCCTGAGTTGAAAGTCAGCCTGTTCTATGTGGAAAGATCCTGTCTAAATAAATTATTTTGTTTATCAAATATTATCAAATTAAAAGACACTATCAAGTGAAAAGAATGTACAAAAGGGGAAAGTTAATAATTTGTATATTTATTAAGAAAAATATAGAAAAGGGGTTTACAATTAGTCAGACATCATCAGGAAAAATGGGAAAAGTATTTAAATAGGTGTTTCTTTAAAGTGTACAAAATGACATAATAAAAAGATGCTCAACATCAGTCTTCAGAGAAATGTAAATCAAAACCACAATACGACACCAACTCACACTAACTATGATGGCTGAAATAAAATAGCTGAACATGAAGCACAGTCAAAGATGGAGAAATTGAAATCAGCCACAGAAAGTAATAAAGTACTGTTACATGGTACAATATGGATGCACCTTGAAAACAGTGCAATAGTTAAAGAAGCTAGACACACAGCCATATTTAATTACGTAAGCCCACATATACAAAAAGAAAGGTAAACTGCAGGTTGGCAAGATAGCTCAGAGGGTAGAAAAGCTTATAGTCAAGCCCAATACCCTAGGTTTAATCCCAGGGATCCACATAATGGAATGAGAGACAAGAACTCACTCTTAACAATTTGTCCTCTGACCTCTACATGCACACCATGGCATGCATGCATGTGCACACACACACACACACACACACACACACACTAAATTAATAAACATTTCAGAAATAAATCTATAGAAGAGATTGGTGATAGCCAGGTGATAAAGGCAGACAGGAAGTAGAATTCTGTGCTTAACAAGTATACGGTTTCTTTTAGTGGTGGTGGTGGTGTTACAGAAATACCCTGGAATTAGTGGTGATACCAACATAATATTGTAAGTATATTAATAAACATGAAATTGTATGTTTTTAAATTATTTAAATGGAAAAATCTATCATTTTTAAAGTTAAAAACTTTTATGCAAAGCATATCTATAATCTATATGGAGCACAGAAGCTGAAATAACACAAAAATAAAAGTGGGTGTAGTGAATTCTTTTTTTCCTCTCTAATATCTCTTAATTTGGTATAGCACTCTTTATTGCACATATGTACACAAAACTGAAGCCAACTTAAAAATGTTTTAATGTATGCAGCACTGGAAAAGAATGAGATATTCCATTATCTGAAAAACAATCATACAAATATTGACTATATGATCCTATTTGTATATGAACATATATCTGTAACTGTAGAAATGCTTCATAGCAGTAATCAGAGTAGGATTGAGACTTCTAATTTATAACACCCTCTGTCAAGCTCTAATCAAATAAATAATATCTGAGCCCTTTTTAAAAATACGAGTTCACATATTTTGATGACTCCCAAAATAACAGGGATTCAAGTTTATCTGTTTAATAAAACATATGGTCTAAGTAATGGAAACTTCTTTTAATGTTATTTTCATAAAATAGATGCTACAATAAAGAAACATGCATTTTCTGACATATCGTACTCATTACAATGCAGCATTTTCAATTTCCCACAAAGACATTTTACATATTACATATACCACAAGAAGAAAAAAAATTATTGTGGGGAGAAAAACAATATAAAATGACAAAGTACCATATATTTCTGATAAGAGAACCAAAAATTACATGCCTATGGTAGAAATGGTTTTTCATATTGATATGTAACATAATCCTGGTATGTGTCTTCTAAGCACATAAATGCTATCAGTTATGAAGTAGGGAGAACAAATTTGCACAGAAAAGTACTTACTACATAATACATAAACGCTACAATAGGATAACATAGCACCAGAAGCTTAAAAGGCATAGTAGCAAAAAATATAGAATGCATATTCCATCTATTTATTTCCTAACTGAACAGCATGCTTTCAAAAAATACAAATAGAAAACTTTTCTTCACCAGGACTCCAAGATGGCATCAGTCATACCACCGAAAGAGAAAAAGGCCATGGTTGTTAAACTGGGAGGGCTGCCATACTGGATACTGATGTGGGATTTCATCCCCAGTCACTGCTGACACACCTCAAACTGATTATGCGCAGTATTACAGAAAGAATGTCAACACAAGCAAAGGGAGCATCGCTAGGGTCAGCACGGTGCTAATAGTTACATATGTTTCAGCTACTTAGAGCTAACAACTTCTGTTTCTTAAAAGAAACTCAAATGAGTGATGTACAAGTACCACTAAAAAGGAGCAAGAATAAAAGGCATTTTGCTCTCCTTAATATAATTTCCTGCCTAGCTCCCAACCATGAATGATAAAAATTCAGACCGATTCTTTTCACATTCTAACTGAAGAAGCAATGACACTAAAAGGTGTGTGGTACATATAAAAAATAAAATTAAAATTCCAGTGCTCAGAGTGGTAGAGGCAGGTGGATCTCTGTGGGTTAGAGGCAAGCCTGGTTTCCAAAGTGAGTCCAGGACAGCCAAATCTACATAGAGAAACCCTGTCTTGAAAAACCAAAAAGAAAGAAAGAATAGAAAAAAAGAGAAAAGGAAGGAAGGAAGGAAGGAAGGAAGGAAGGAAGGAAGGAAGGAAGGAAGAAAGAAAGAAAGAAAGAAAGAAAGAAAGAAAGAAAGAAAGAAAG